GTATATATATGTTTTCCTTCTTGATAAATTATTTTATCATTGAAACAAAGTTATCTTGTTTTTGTGACATTTTGTCTCTAGACTGGGACTTCGGATGGAGGTTTTAAATGACCAAATAGAACCATGCATTGTTAAAAAGAGAAAAGAAAAAACGACAACAGACAAAAATAAACAAATGTATATTTGCCTTTAGAACCATAAAAGTAATATCAGATTTGTTCACAGAAAATTAGCAAATGAATTTGTGATAATGGCTCCATTGAGTCTACTTTTACTATTTTCACTGTATTACAGATAGACGGATACTTTATTGGTCTCTCCCCCTCCCCAACATTTATAACATCCCCCCACCACTAGGGGGCTCTTCCCACAGATTGAGAACCACTGAACCTGACCCATTTTTATTTTATTTAAAAGGTTTTTTTTTAGAGGCTTTTAAGTTATTTTATTAATAATCAGAGAAAACTAAGCAAATGTAAACCTCCGTAATTCACCCTTTGACTGCATCTAACAATCACAAAAACTTATAGTGACTTTAATGTTAATTTAAAGAAATCAATTCTTACCTTTCAGACAGCTTTGGGTCAAAATAACATAAAAATCACCAGGCAGACACAAGCATACAAAAGTCTGATTGGCACGAGCTTCACACGTGCTTCCGCTGCCACATGGGTTTGAATCACAGGGATCTTAAAAGTGAAGACAAGAAGCACGGAGCTTTACACTTTTCGATCTAAATGTGCGATCGATTAAACAAACTTCATTTGTGTGAGCAGCTAGAAATTACTTGGAGGTTGCGTAGTTGCAGGAACTTCTGTTGGAGGAAGGACAGTTGCTGTGGATGGACCATCTGGATCTTTTGTGGCACCAGAATGTTCTGTTGCTGAAGACCCTGCTGAAGCTGCTGATGTCCCAGGCCCTGCTGAAGCTGCAGAGGGTACTGTATCCCCTTCACCGCTTAGAACAGACTCTTCAGCTCCAGCTGATGAGATTGTTGAAGGTAAAACAGTAAAAGGCAATTAGTAACCGATTTCCTGCACTCAATGCTCAAATGCATTGGACTTTGAAAAGACAGCAAGTAAAACCCTGGAAATCAAATCACCCATGTGCACTAAAATAAAGTAATATGTTTGTCGACAAGAACTGAGTGAGCTGGAAACACCAGTGAAACGGGCGCTTGTTCGTCACTTTTGAAATTCAAAAGTTTTATCCTCTTTTAACAAATGTATCCTTATTGTCTTTATTATTTTTGTTTATTTATTTACTGCATAATCCAGTTGATATGGTGAATAAAATAGTTTTGCAAGCAATAATTTCTGTTTTATTCTACAGTTAATATACTAAAGTGGGTTAAATATGCATTAGCTCTAAATTAATTCCTCAAATTAATGTATAAAATGTTCAAAATAAAGTAGTACGTGGATAAAAGAATATATAATGTGGAAAAAAAACCATTGTTTATTCACATTTAGTTTTTGAGACTGTTCATATTAGCATTGTTTTCCCTCAATAATGTGTTGTTCATGCACTGATCTAATGTAGATTGTTTGAAAAAAGACTTTAAATAAGAAGAAAAGCATACAATAAGCCAATTATTTATTGCACAATAACTATATATCTGGATTTTTATTTATTTATTTTGGATCAATACTTTTATTCATTTTAAAAAGTTGTTTCCCCACTTAGAATATAAATACAAATGTAATTATTTGTCTATTGAAAACTAAGAAGTTGGAAGTAGTTTATGTGAAATCCAACAGTTTATGGAATATTTTTTGCATTATATTGTACAACTGTTTCTATAAAATCCTTTATAAACTTCAGCTTTGTGCATGAAATGTTTCTGCTTTAATTTAAATTTTTAATATTTTGAGGTAAAATAACAATACTTAATAATTAGATGAAAACAAGTCAGATTACAAATAAAAATATATGGTCGATTTGATAATATACAAAAAACAACAACACTTACCTCCAATGGCAAGGACAATCAAAAAGGCAGCTAGTAGTGTGAATTGTTTGGCCATTGTGAAAATGCACTAAAATTTCAACAAAAGTGAAAAATAATAAAAACAGCGAAGGATTTGTCTTGAAACGTTGGTGCCTTGAATCCTCGGATGATGAGAGTCAAGTCCTCCTCTGCCGTTTTAACCAGAAGCCACTCCTCTCTGGGCGTCACTGTGCACTAAAAAGAGTTTCTAAGCAGAAGAGCATTTCTAAAATTTCCTTATTGCGTTCGGCATCATAAACAGTCTCTGTTACTAATTTTAGAAACACCTAAAATTGTGTCACAGAAATGGGCCCCTCCAGGTCAGAACAGGGGTCACTACATGCTTCAAGAACAAATATTTAAAGAGAAGTTGCACTTTTTAAATGATTGTGAAATTAGTCAAGTTAAGTCGATTTTATTTATAAAGTGCATTTAAAACAACAGCTGCTCCCAAAGTGCTTCACACACAGAAAAAAATAAAATAAAAAGTCTATGGCATGGCAGTAATTTAAAGAAAAAATAATAACAAAAATTAATTAAATGCATCAAGAGAAAAACATAAAAACGTAAAACAATAAAGCATTCGTTCAAATTGCACTGTGGTAAAAGTCAGAGAAAGCAGATGTGGTTTTATAAGAGATTTAAAATCAGGAAGTGAAGTGGCCTGTGTAATGTCGGGGGGCAGATTATTCCAGAGTTTAGGGCCCGTGACTGAAAAAGCCCCATCTCCTCTGAGCTTTAACCTGAACCAAAAGCAGCTGGTCTGAGAAGGTCAGAGAGATATAAGGGTGAAAGGCCATACAGACATTTAAAGTTAACAGGAGCTTTTTTAAATCTATTCTGATACATACTGGGAGCTATTAAATGGAGGACAAAACCAGTGAAATATGCTCAAACCTACAAGTTCCAGTTAAGAGCCGAGATACAGCCTTTTAGACAAGCTGGAGACATGAAAGTGAGACCTGACGAACCCCAACATAAAGCGTGTTTCAGTAATCAAGTCAGGTTGTAACAAATGCATAGACTATTTTTTCAAGGTCAAATCTGGTCACCACTGACTTAAGCTCTGCTATCAACCACACCACACCACACCACACCACACCATACCATACCATACCATATCATACTATAACCCACCATACCATACCATATATATTTTGTATTTTGCTTTGTGTGTTACCTGTTGTTTTGTCTGTACAGCACTTTGGTTGGCCTTGTTGCTGTTTTAAGTGCTTTCTAAATAAAGTGGTATGGTATGGTAT